CAAATAGGCGGAGACGAACAAGTGAAAGGTTTTCATTTCACCTCGATGACACCATGGATGAGCAGATGCTGATTCTAGAAGTCTTGAAGTAGATTTCATCCTCTGAAAGGACACAATGTACTGCTGATATGGTTAGCCTAAGTGGCGAGTGACAACTTGTTATCATGCGATTGCACGTGAATCTGCGGGTTCTTTTGAGTTCTCGCGATTCCTGCTGCCCATAATCCGCCTCGAAATTCGCCTCACAAACGGATCCGGTCGGAATAGGTGTACGGCGAAAATCACTGCCGATTGTGGTGGAAATCCCGGGTTAGTCAAATGCATTTATCTGTAAAGTCCGTTAAATAACATGTTGCTCATTTTTCCTGCATTACCTTTATTTGACAGATTTATTTCTAGGTTAAATATCCAAAACATTGTGATTATATTGCTTTTTGGCTTCTATAATTCTGAGGTGAAAATGTGATATCTTGACAGCCCCAATCTGAGTAAAAAAACAAAAAAAAAATATGGCTGAATCTGCTAAAATCTAAACTGAGGAATAACATGAGCTCCTCCTCCTTCTGCAGTGGTAAACATCTGAACAAAGTGCTCCAGTCTGCAAACTCAGAAGGACACTTAGACTTCACAGACCTGAAAGATCTCACTTAAACAAAGTGCTGACAGCTCATGACTCCTTTGACCTCTGATTTCCACCCTGCCTTTTTTTTTTTACAGTGAAGCATTGGTGAAGAAAAAACAATTTATCACCCATAATTCACCACCATGTTTCCAATCACAAACAAGAGGTATAAACCAAACATAAGCGCCATTTGGAGAGAGATTTTCCACGGATATCACGCCTCTTCTCTGTCTCCAGGATCAACTTTCCTCTCTTGACTTTGTCTCACTGAAGGAATCCCCTCTCCTCTCTGTCTCCCACTCCGCGCGTGAGAAAACAATAACTGCAGAGCTTGTTGACAGGTCATCTCTCTCTCTCTCTCTCTCTCTCTCTTTCTGTCCTCCTTGTCGAGGCTCCCACGCACATGAGTGGGCTTCGGTCCACATGGACTGTCTCTGGATGCCTGCGCAGCTTTTTGGCAAACTGGTTGGATGCTGCTCAGAGAGTAAATAGCCCGCAAGACCGTTTATTTCAGGACTTGAAAGGCTGCAACAGACTCCCAACCACTCCTCTCCTCTCCTCTCTCCTCCTCCAAACAAATAAACAGGGATGTCCGGAGAGAAAGACGAGTTTTTGTTTTGATCATCTGTCACTGTTCTTAGAGAATAAGCCGATAAGCAGAGGAAACAAGCTCACAGCACAAGAAAACAACACTACCAAAATTAAAGAAGCCCCTACCTCCTGCTGAGACGCAGCTCCACAGCAGCCCGATCCACAGCCCGGCGCGCAAGGTGATGCGGAGACGGTACCGGAGCGAGCAGGCGGCCGGCGGCATGGCGACACAAGCCGGTCCACAGGAGAGGAGAGGGTGTCTAGTGTATAGTGAACTCGGGTCTGGTGGTCTGCAGAGAGTCGTGCAGGTAGAACCGGCTCGGTACGGTACGGTACAGTACGTGGTCCGGATTTGAGAGCGCTGATAGTCCGCGTGTCAGCGCAGCATCCTCCTGACTGCGAGCAGCGCCTCCTGCTTTCTGCCTCCGATCCGTCCTCCTCCTCCTCCTCTCCTCCGCGGACACAGACTCTCTCTCTCTCTCTCAGTGGGCCCCCTCTCTCGCCCTCCCCACGCACACGCAGACCTGACCTTAATGATAATGAAACTTTTGCAGAGAAGGAGAGTGTGTTTGTGTGTCAGGGTGACTGTGGTGGGTTGCAGTGTGATCAGGACACACTTACATAAGATACACAAAGAGAGAGAGAGAGAGAGAGAGCATTGTCCCATGCTGCTCTGGTTTACTGGTTGCATGATGGGAGTTGTGTGTGTGTGTGTGTGTGTGTGTGTGTGTGTGTGTGTGTGTGTGTGTGTGTGTGTGTGTGTGTGGAGGCTGACTTACAGCCCTCTCCCTCTCATCCCGAGCTTGTAATCTGTTTAAGTAGCCGTATTTCACTGTAGCAATCTACTGCAATCCACAGGATTTAGAGTCCAAACTACACTGATAAACACTGACCACAGAGACCAGACTGCAAACACAAAATCATCATCAATCACAATCAGACTTATTAGAAACATCTGCGTTTATTATAATAACATCAAAAATAGCAAAATAACAAACTGGGGCCGAACCAGACGTTTACAAAAAGTAACCACAACACAGTCAAGTTGAAGAGAAAACAGATTTTGGTTCATTTACACCGAAAACATACAGGATCCATATTGAGATTGTCCGTATTTGCTCCGTAGATCAGTTTTGGGTATCTCATACAGGATCAGCGTGTTTGGAGCCCCCCAGTCAGCTGGGCTCAGTAGAGAAGAAACAACATGCTCACAAAAAGGTTGTTTTTTTTTCTGTGGTGGATTTCCTGATAATTTGGATATAATTCAGTGACCATTAAGCCTCTAGTATACGTAAAAGAGCTTTAAGTGATTTTGCAGTTTGTGTTTTTGCAGGTTTACTCATGTTTAATAAAGTAAACTATGTTCCTTTATGCTGTGCTGTTACCTTCAGACAGAGTTAGCAGTTCAAAGTCCTGTTGGGGTCCTCATAGATCATGGATTGACCATCGGATTGTTCTGTGTTACTGATAAATCCAGAACCAGAAAGGACTTCTCATCTACACGAACTGATACACAGGGGGAGTTTGCATATGGTGTTTTATTTTGAAATACCTGATGACATGCACGGTTTTCAGTCTTGACTTCCTGTCTGGAACAATCGTCTCTGTGTGGATTGACGCGCATTAGAGGTGTAGAGCAGCAAAAATAGACTTGCCGCGTATTTTTAGCAGTGCTGCTCTCGATACGATGCTGCTGATACGTGTCCTGTACACTTTACTGCATTGAATACATTGGATACACGACGCTGCTGCCACGCTCCAAATACACATCCTGTATGTTTTAGCCTTTATGGCTGAGTATTCTGGGTTTATATTATAATATCATTAAAGTTTTTAGCAGTGGCTGTAATACACCAGCAGGTGGCAGCACCTGATGTCATGTTTCCATTTCTTTGTTTAGCATCAGGCAGCAGCAGTGGTAAAACCAAAGGTGGACACAGTTAATGTTTACTTTATCAATAGTTAATCTGTTCAGAGTAGGGTGACCATACGTCCTCTTTTACCCGGACATGTCCTCTTTTTTGGGGGCTGTCCAGCCTGTCTGGGGGAGTTGATAAAATCCTTAAATGTCTGGGGTTTTCTATGGAAGCTTTGAGTTTGTGTTGCGTGGACTTACTGAGTAAAGTTCCTTTCACACCGAGAGCGTTTTTTTCGTGCGATTATTTCAGACATCAATATTTTTTTCAAACCCATATCCTGTCAATACAAGCGTTCACATCAGCAACATTTTCCCGTCCTGCAATATTGCGGCATTTATTTTTTCATCTCACGGTCGAATTTTCTGAAGTTTCGCATACTGTGTGTCCACTTCTGACCAATCAGATTGCGTGTTGTTGCAACCTCTGATTCACCGGTATATCCAACATGGCTGACAGGCTGATTGTTTACGTGTCGGAGAACAGAGTGCTTTTTGATAAAAAACACAAACATTACAAAGATAACGACCTGAAGGACAACTTGTGGAGAGTCATAGCGTCGGATCTCTTATATGACGATGGTTTTTGTGCTTTAACAGTGTGCTAAACGTCTTTGTTTTAACTTTCATCTGTGCTAAGTAACTTTAGCTCATAAGCTAACCTGTTCAGATACAACATACCATATGTATTTTCATTTTGTCATTTTGCGTTGCTGTCACAGCACCATTAGGTCTCAGCTGTTATTTTACGTTTATGGATTATAATTTAATGTGCTTATCTGGTACTGGCCCCGACTCAGTACATGCTATCATGACAGACAGACATCTCAACACTAGTGTCTAATCAGAACTGAAAAACATTCAGTCTGCTGTTGTGTCAGTCTTCTCGCTTCCACTCGGGACGCGTCATTTTTCCCCCCAGAAAGTTGCAAAATCACATTGTGCTTGAGGTGTGTAGTCAGGCGCGTCAAAATTCACCTCCAAATATTTCGTAATTTTGCATCGTATATTTGCATCGTTCCCGGTGTGTAAGGACCTTTAGAAGCACGTAAACAACGCCCGACCTGACCCGAAACACCCTAGTTCAGAGGTTTATTGACATTCGCGTTAAAACCTCAGGTAAGTCTAACAGTCTGTCCCATTTCGGCTGCACGAGAAGAATCCAGGAAAAAGGTTTCATCTCAAGTTTAAGATCCATTACAGTGTACACTGTTTCACCAACTCCAGCTATGCTCGTCAGTTAGTCTAACCCTTGTGCCTCAGAGTGGTGAAGTCAAAATATATATTTAAAAAAATGACGACAGTAAAGACAAAACAGTATAAAATAGTTTTATCCAGTTTGCACAAACTTTTGAGAAACCAGAAAACAAACCAGAAAAGAGCAGAAACACGTTCATACAGGACGTTAATAAGTTTCTAACTTGTTCAACTTTGATAATAAGATAATGAAGTCAATAAAACCAGGCGAATTGAACAGGTTGTATATTTTCATTCCAGCTCATTATCATCCGTGTCAGTGACCTTGGTATTTCATGCAATGAGGCTTTGCTGTGCACAGGATATCATTTACATGTCTGCAGACTTCACAAGCACATAGGGATGGTATTAGCTCGCTAAAATAAAACATTATACTCATTAAAGTGAGAGAGCTTGAAATGAAGACTTTGAAGAATGAAGATGGAGATGAAGATACAAACCCGGCCTATAGTTTAGGATTAACCGTGATACTTTTGTTTAATAAACACAGCTGATCATGGACAAACTTGTACAGGTAATAACACCTACATCTCTTTGGGTCCTCACTGACCACAAGTGCATGCATCTGTTTCTTCTTTTGCTAGTAGTGCTCACTGTTTTGTAAAGAGCTTTTTACCTGCAACACATCAGCCAAACCAGGGTTGTAAAAGGCTCTATAAGTGCTATAAAAGTTAAGCCCGAACAGCCAAAACAAACTGTAGGTAAAGCTGAATGGAGCTGCATAAGTAGTCTTCACTTTGAATCTTCTCCTGCAAGTATCTGCGCTTGTTTGTCTCCACTTTGCTTTTATCCGTGTCAGCAGCAGCAGCAGTTTTATATAAAAAAATAACAATATATTAGTAAAACAGGCTTCAGACTGTACTCTCAGCCCCTTTCCCTCTCAGCCCGTCTATAATGCATGACAAACGCTTATCAATAATTCAGTGATATCACATTTTAAAAAAGCTTTTGAGCCAGCCAGCCAGACAGACAGACAGACAGACAGACAGGGACCCAGATAGATCCCTGTCTGTCTCACAGTCAGTGTGTGTGTGTGTGTGTGTGTGAGGGGGTTTATCGGCTCGTTCCCAGTTAGAAAGAAGTAACACACTCACCTCATTAGTCGCTCTGCTCCAACAGCTGTCTGGCCCGTTCCTGCATGATTTTCCACTCGTAACTCTGGGCTGCCGACTCATTCAGACGTGCTGACAGCAGAGAAAACAAAGTGTAAACACGAGGAAATAAGGTATTTAAGAACAAAACACGACTTCTGCACAAACACTAAACATCGACACTGTTTGCATTCAGAGCCTGTCCGGTTCAGGCTGCTGGAAATATGAAGGAGGGAATGCACCATGTCGGTATTTTAGAGGTAAAACAGAAAGAGCATCATTAAAAGATACCGCATCAACACTGTGACTAAAACAGAAATTGGCATTGATGTACCAGGCATTTCTCAAATGCTGGGTTATTATGATGGAAGATAATACTGTATGCAGATGATGCACAGCTGTTTATTCCTGAGAGAGATTCAAAGATGTGTAGTGGTTTATTTATGCCCAGAAGACTTAAAACTTTTAAAAAACTGACTTCTTTCATATCTACAGAGCGCCAAGTTTTAGTCCTAGACGAAGATTTAGAAAGACCAGGGGCCTCATGTATCAACACTTGCGTGGAACTCATACCAGAAACGAGCGCACGCAAGGTCAGTCACGCTGAAAAAAATCCGTATGTATCAATGTGTGCGGGCGCCAAAATCCACGTGTGTTTCCTTGATAAATCCCAACCAGCGTGGAATTGAGCGCAGATGTCGGAGTGACTGGGCCCGTCCCCGTTACGCCCTCCTATAAATATGCAGATTTATTTAAATAGGGTCTCCCTGTCCTCGCACGCAGACAAAATGACAAGAAAAACTAAATTTACGGCGCGCGAGGTGGAGGTGCTGGTGGCGGAGGTGGAGGAGCGACAGCGTGTTTTGTTTGGCAGCCTGTCCAGTGGCGTCAGTGCAAAACGAAAACGCTTGGAGTGGGAGAAAGTTTGCGAGAGGGTGAACGCGGTGGGTTCCGAGACACGCACCCCCGCGGAGATTAAAATAAAGTGGTCGGACCTCAAGGTGGAGGTCAAGCGGCGTACAGCTGCCCTCCGGAGGAGTACCGGCCAGACAGGAGGGGGTCCGGGGGAGGAGACCTTCACGCCGTTTGAGCAGCGGGTGGTGGCGATTATTATTATAGGGTAAGTGGCGTGTCACACAAATGTCCACATGCTTTGTCATCCCACTGAGCAAAAGACGTATATCAGACGTCTAGTCTAAGTTTATACTTCATTTCAACGTCGGGATTCAGTCTATTTTTAGACGTGATTTATACTTCGCCCTTAACTTCATTTTTCGATAACTTTTTATGCAATAAACAACTGAAATGTGCATAACCGACCTCTAAATACTGGATTACATTACCTATGATACCGTGGAGAGAGATGTAAACGCAACAGATACACAGAAGCAGGAATTGAAATGAACCAATATTTTTGTTGTGTCACAGAAATCAATGTGTCGGCCGTGTCGCCGGCTTGCGGAACCCCAGCCCGCGGCAGCCCGTCCGCCGGCTCGGAGTCGTCGGCCAGGACCAGCGCCTTTCGGGCCACCCTGCCCCCGGCCCCAGCACTAGCATCAGCACCAGCGCGCCGACAAGCAGTGGAGCGTCCACCAGCCGCGGCGCTTCCGCTGGACCACCCGGACGCAGTGGAAGGGTCCTCACGGAGGCGGTCCTGCAATCGCAGGAAGAAATCATCAGGGGGATCGCGGGGATCAACGAGCGGCTGGACCGGCTCGTAAATGTCCTCGAGCGTCTGGTGGCGAAAATAAATTAATTTGGGTCATTGAACTGTGTATTCACTTCTTACCCATTCACACTGTGGCGATGAGATTCTCCCGCGCGAGGACGGCGGCCCGGCAGGGATCAGCTCGCATCCCTCCGTCTGCTGCTGGTTCATCATGTGGTGCGACGTGCTGCTCGGCCACGGGGATGTGGTGCATGCTCGTCACATAGTGAGTCACCAAATACCGCCACACAGCGTCGCCAAAGTGCGAATCACAGTTAACGCAAGTATCAGCTCAACGCCAACTTCTACACCACCTCCTGACTTTGCGTTGATTAGCGCTGGAACCGACGCTCGTTTCGCGATGATAAATCTGGACTTGTGCGCCGATTTTGGCGTACGCAAGGTTTTCTTGCGCCGCAAGTGTTGATACATGAGGCCCCAGGGATCTCACAAGGTCACTGATTACAAGACTACAACTTGACTCCTGATGTAAGTTTATAACAACTTATTCTGATGTACAAGCTTTTCTCAAACGCTGGGTTATTATGATGGAAGATAACACCTTATGTAGATAATGCACAGCTGTTTGTGCCAGAGAGAAATTCAAATATGTGTAGTGATTATTTACGCCCAGCAGACACTAGAAGACTTAAAAAACCAGGGATCTCACAAGGTCACTGATGACAAGACTACAACTAGACTCCTGATGTAAGTTTATAACTTATTCTGACCTTTCATAGGATTTCAAAGTCACAGATAACTTCCCAAAGTGGAAATAAAATCATTACAGTTTTGCTAAAGTCTGGAAACGCCATAGTGATCTTGGTCATTTACAGGGGTTTCAAAACTCAATCAGCACTGATTGAAGGTGGTCTTTCCCCATCTCAATTATCAAACTGTCTCATGTAAATAAGGTTTTTTGTTGACGTTGGTTATTGCACATTGTTGACAACATCATAGAGGAAGTCAAGGCCAAGGTGACATCTAGGGTTGCTCTGATTCGCCGCCATGCTGGAACAACCTGGGGAGCGTCCGCCAAGACTTTGCGAATATCAACACAAGCCCTGGTATTCTCTGCAGCAGAATACTGCACCCCTGTCTGGTGTAGAAGTCCGCATGCAAGCAAGGTTGACATGGCTATCAGTAGAGCCCTCCGAATTATAACTGGATGCCTGAAGCCTACACCAGTGTCCTTCTTGTCAGTCCTCACGGGAATAGCCCCAGCTGGCCTCTGACGGGAGGCTGCCACCCTTGCCCTGGCCAGGAAGGCACAAAGGCATGATTGGCACATCCTGCACAACATCACGACAACAGCAGCACCTCCAAGCAGACTCAAATCCCGCCACCCCTACAACAAGGCAGCTCACGAGATGCTCAATTCCACCTCTGAGGACATCTCCAGAGATGCTTGGCTGGCAGCAGCTTGGAAGCAGGAGTGGCAGTCAGCTGGGCCCCCTCACAGCCATTGTTACATTTGGGACCCAGGAGGTGGCGCCATAGGAGGAGACGACCTACCACGCTGGCAATGGACAACACTGAACCGCCTCAGAACTAGGGTTGGTCGCTTTAAAACATCAATGAGGAAGTGGGGCCTGGTGGACTGTGCAGCTTGTGAGTGCGGTGACCCTGAGCAGACTGCAGACCATATAATCAGCACCTGCCATTTATACAGACCACCTTCAGAAGCTAGCCTCTTTGACCTAGGACCAGAGATGTTGGCATGGCTACACGACACCGAGTTGGACCTCTGATGTTACACGAAAGAAGATCATTGTTGTGATCACTGGGACTTCAGTTCATGGCTTTTGGATGTGTTTTTAGGAGCTGAGCATCAGGCTACATGGGAAGGTTTTTGTGCAGGTTCAGGGCCACATGCTAAAGGTATGCTAGAGCTCAGGTCTGATGTAGACACATAAACCAGGCTTCAGGTGAACTTTATCCTTCAGGTGTTGAGTCTGGAAACAGTACGGTACATGTTGTCTTTCTTATGGTAAAGTAAAACACTGAAAAATTGGAAATAAAGCAAACACTTACTGTGGCGTTATTGTTTGGGTAAAGTTTGTTAAAATAATCTAATAACCTAGCTTAGCTTCAACTCTGGTTTTCAAGCTGGTTTCACAACAAGGACACCAAGCTGACCAGCAGACACCCTTTGTAACTGCCTCTCACCATTATTCATTCCTAAGTTTTGGTTGTGTATCCATTTTTTTCTTTGTTAACTTGAAGTTGAATTCAGGCAGAACTAATGAGTTTCCTCCTGGTATAAAAAGGATCAGAACGCCTCCGAAGACAGCGTTACAGAAGATCGGTAAAAGCAACAGGTTCATTAGAGCCCAGATAAGTTTAAAAAAATTAAAAGAAAAAAGAAAAAGGAAGAAGATCCAAGATTAAGCCCTCTTTAATTACAAGCAGCCTATGAGTTATGTGTATTTTCATCTGGTTTGTGTTGTGATTTACACCTCCTAGCTGAAATGAATGAACAGCTATGCATTACACACCTAAATTACTGTGCAATGAGAATGTTAATATTGTGTAGTATTTGTGTTTATACATGCCGTTTTATATGCATGGGTTATATAATTTGTAATATGAATCGTAGTTGATGAACTATTTTGTGTAATTTTTAATGTACTTATTAAGATTCTTGTTATATAGCGTAGAAGCTACATATGTGATAACAGACATTTTATTCCATTTATTGTGTATTTGTTTCCACTTATCTTCTGGTCTGAGAATAATGAACCCCCGTTTTTTAATTAAGATCTCATGACTCATGCTGTTACGTGACTCATTGCTCAACCTCACTTGAAAATACCAAACTATCTCTTTAAAATGAACATTATTGCATGCTTTTGTAATCATTAAAGAAGGAAGTAAAGGTTAAAACTCTGAAAAAATGGAGCCAAGCTCTATAAATATCCTCATTGTTGCAGCGGTGCATCATCTGCATACAGCTTGATCCTCCTGCATGCTAAGGCGCTGCCGTGTTTATGATCCTGCGCCTGTGAACACGGTGAACAGGATCATTGTCCACATGAATAAACTCTCTGATTTCTGCTCCTTTGTGCTCAGACAGTCAGCTCTGTGTGTCGGCTGTGTGGCTTTGTGCCAACAGGCAGAACACAGTCTTCTCTATGTGTGATAACCCAAGAATAAAATGATTAGACAACAGCTTCTGAAGGAGAGGAGATATCATTATTTCTGCGAGGGATCAGCCCCCTCCTCTCTCTCTCTCTCTCTCTCTCTCTCTCGCTCACTGTGTCATCCATCCTCATCCCCGCTCATTCCCCCTCTGTCTAATCCCTCCCCCATCTTCCATCTCACCCCCAATCTCATCTCTTTTATCTCTCTTCTTTACTCCCATCGCTCCTGGTTCTCACGCTGCTGTTGTGTGTTTCCTTCACAGATACATGTGAGAGGAGGATAAGCCCTCCGCACTGAGCCGGGCTCAGCGACAGCCGGCTCCACGCTTCCCTCTCTCGCAAAACAAGGCGAAGGAGCAGAGGTCACATTGAAGCAGGAAGGAATGTGAGCGTTTTCAGAGCCTTTTTTTTCTATTGACAAGCAGACAGCATTAGAAAATATAAATAGCGGAGGACTCGGGGACAATCTTTGATTGAAAAGTAAAGAAATTAAAAGGCTCGGGATGTTGTGACACAAAAACTAAAGGAGGGTGGAGGAGCCAAACTTTTCCAGGGTGCTGGGTCAGAGTATTAAACTTGGTTTTCCATTTGTGAGTCAGAAACTCCCTTAAAATAAAGATCTGTGCATTTCAAAGAGATCAGATCTGACTGAAGACTTGACTGGACTCTCAGGTGTTTGCATACAAATGTGTTGTTATATCACTTCCTCTTATCAGCAGTGCTGACTCTGCAGGTCGAAAAACTCAGAGTGAGACGTTTATTTAAGAGAAGGGAAAGCATGTTTACTGATTCGTCAGAGATGCTTATCTACAATCGATTGTTTAAAGTATAAATGCCCAAATCAAAGGCTCAGAGAAGGATCTGATTGGACGGGAGACAGGGGTGCATTGGCTTGCACATCACATGCACTTTAAATATTAAAAGAGATGGAGATAAAAGATCTTCAGTGGGTTTATTTTCTGTGATAGTATCAGGAAACGCCACATCTGGGAACCAAGATATTTCTCATGATTCAACCTCATCAGTGTTTGGAGATATCTCTGAATCAAATCTGTCAGTTTGTAAATGTGCAGATCGTGTCTGTACTTTTGAGATCTCAGACTTATTACCTTTACGTGGAACAAGATTTATATGTTCTTATTAACTGTGTTGATCCACAACCCATCCACTGCGACTTTATAAAGAGGTAGCTGTCTATACCAACATTACAGTGGTTTCATTTCTGCAAGGACACATTAAATACAAACGCTTACTGCTGATCAAAAGGAAACTTGAAATGTATGAAATCAAAGGAGATATGATAGCGTGTCTGCATGAATGTCAAAAAGTTTCTGGATATAAGAGATTTAAAGATTAATCCATCTTAACCAGTTATGGATCGCACCATGAGAGACCGGTAGTGCTGGTCCTGGATCAGTAAAAAATGTCCAGTTTCAGGGCTGGGATCTAGTCGACTGAAGTTTTGTTGATTTATTCCTGCCTGATGTCCTCGGTGTCTGGGGGCCGATCCGAATTGTACCCCTCAGCCCCGGTTTTAAGCGAAGGGGTGTCCCAGTTCTCCATAAAGTTAAGGGTAAGGGGTCCACAGCCCTTGAAACAAACAAACTGGGATCTCACTTGAAATCAAGGGTTATGATTCTGATATGGTTTTCATTGTAACGCAATTATAAGTTTTTATCAGATATTCAATCCTTTGCTACACCATGAAAACATTAGCGATTATATGAATTGTTTGCGTTTTGAAATTGAGTGTTATGACGAGTGAGCTAACGAAGCTATAGCTAATGATAGCTGCAGTCCACAGAGTTTTTCGAATGATCTGCACAGAAATTGTCTTTCCATTCTGTGTCCGAAAACTCTTTCATAACTACCCTCTCCCACCAGCCTTTGCTTCAAACATGCATCCAACAAGAGCGAGAGTTTCGAGTCAGCAGCGACATCACAAAGTGTAGCATCTAAGACATGCTGTTGTTGTAGCCCTCCATTATCATGCGGTGTTCTTGTCTGCCTCTTAAAATCCCCATGAGCACAAGGAGTAGCGTGCGTCTCATCTGCAGAAAAAGTAGCGCGCACATCATGTAGGACAAAAACAACGCTGTACGATGCTCCATCTTCCTCTAAAAAGCCCAGCAGAAGTTGTAGACACTTCTGACATTTGGTATGGACCTGCTGTTGTTGACGGTTGTATGGGGTCGGAAACAGCACCGCTGAAAAGACCCATATCGCCCCCTAGTTTTGAGGAGAAGGACACAGTCACGTCAGTAATTCAATTTTCTCAGCTGCATGTATACGCGGACAAGGAGAGGAGTCTGATTTGGGGAAAAAACGAATTAAGAGCTTAGTCCGATTAAACTGTGCATGTAAACATACTGACTGATGTCAGACTGCTATTGCGAACAACAGCTAACAACGACTAAATATTACAACAGTAGGTTGTTTTCCGACTTGCTCACCAGTATTGCCGCATCAGCCTACGACACAGCCGGTAAGCGGCAAGGCATGATGACGTAACGGGAATCAAGTGGCGTCTCATTTTTTAGGAGCGTGTTTTCATCCCTTCCCCTACGCCCTCAAAGCAGAGGGGGTAAGATGAAGAGGAAGGGGTAAGAGTGACAACTGGGATCGACCCTTATTCTTGGTGTCCTGGGTTCATTAACTTTGAACTATCATGTCCCGTTACCCCCAATTTTCACTACATCCGGAACGGCTCAGATCCGGCAGCTATGTTCACTTCCACCAATTCCAACCGGATCCATATGTGAGGCAAATTATGTGGCGGATTACAGACAGCAGGAATCGCAAGAAACTCACAAGAACCTGTCGATTCACGCACAATCACGCAATAAGTTGTCTCCATGAAAACAGCCACATAGACATATAAGTGGTAGATTGTGTCCTTCAAGAGAGGGTAATCTACTTCTAGACTTCTAAAATCAGCATCTCCTCACCCATGGTGTCATCGAGGTCAAATGACGTCTAAAAACTTTTCGCTTGTTCGTCTCCGCCCGTTTGCATGGTGTGAAATATGATCTGCACCATCCAAGTGTTTTATTTTGAAAAGAAGCCGGATGTTTTATTTTGTGTCAGTGCCCGACTTCCTTTCCAACACAGGTTAATCTGTGTTGAACTTATCCAGCATGCTACAGCGTCTAGAAAAAATAAAACTCTTGCGATCAGCTGCGGAGTCCAGCGATCCGCAGAGAAACAGAAAGAAGCCGGTGGAAATTGCCATTAATCTGAATGGAAACGATCAGCTATGATCGGCGGATATGGCCTTTTTGTAGCCGTTCCAGATGCAGTGAAAATTGGGGGTTAGAGTCACTGATACAGTTTTTTTCTGGGAGTTCCTGAGCTCCTTCATCCCATAGGTTCCTCTAGATCTGCTGCAGATGTTCAGTTGCCGTGGACCAGCCTCATTTTAGCTGCTTCAACTTCATACATCTAGATCATCTCCCTCTCTCATCTTTCCTCTCTCTAGACTCTGTGTAGTCTCAGCGGATGTCTGTCTAAGGTGAGTCTGTTTCTGCTATAAAAAAAAACAAATATGGCAGTAGAGTAACCCAGATCATATTTTTCTTCACCTTCTTCGTCGTTCTCGTGATTCTGTC